ATATACAGTATATACAAAAGAGTCTCTGAGATAAAGATTCTGTGATCCTTAAATACTTTCCAAATGTCTCTAAAGGGATTTAACTTCAGTAAGGAAATTTAACAGAGAAAAGTAATTTCTGATTACACAGATTTCTTTGCCATTTAACAGGGTTTAAATTGAATCACTGACCTAAAATATTCATTTTGAAAATAACTTCTTAAAAAACATTCAGACAAAGTTGTTGATGCTTTCAGTTTTGTTCTCTGAAGACAGCTGAAGGACATAAAAATGTATCTCACATCATTTGCTTTTTCTAAATAATCCCTTTTAGTAGGATTAGTCACAGTATTAAATTAAAAGAAGGAGCAATTAATTATATTCTTATGAAATGAAGAAGAGAAAATTCTTTGAAATTTTCTCCCTTCCTCCTCACCCCCTCCTCCATGGAAAATCTAAATTACTTATATATATTTTTAGTTATGGAAAACCTTTCAATTTTCCATTAAACTAAAAGTGGCAGGAATGAATGGTACATGTACAAAAACTGATTCGGAATGACTTTTAGGTATGCTAAGGGAATGTGTGGCCAAAATGAAAAGGAATGTTTAATTTATAACAACTGCTAGTCTACAAGGTAAGGTCTTAATGCTGCAAGTAGTTGTCAGTGGTTTTGGACAAGCACCTGTGCAGAATCTAACTAACTGATGCCTATTACATGTATATTTGGCAGAGCTGGCCAGCAATTGTTATTGGAGTAGTTTTACAGGCAGAAAAAAAGACTGACAAGAGCCTCTAAGCAGACAGCTGGGAAGCTGAACATCGCTGTACCAGTTCTCCCGGAATTTAATTTTTCCATAAATCACTTCCTGCAAAAGTGACATTTTTCACTACTTTGAATCATCTTTTTTTTTTCCTCCTACATGAATGCTTTAAATCACCCCAAACAAATACTTTTGCATTGAGATTCCTTTTTTTGCAATGATTTGTTTGGATATTAAATAAATTTGAACGTGTTCCTACTTGTCCCGTCATCCATGGCATAGCGTTGGTTCATATGATCATGACCATATGAAAGCCTTTTTTATTGTGAATTTAAGTTTTTTTTTCTTTTTATAACTATTGCTATGAGAGTGTACAAGTGTTGCATAGCAGCTAGAAAGCACTGAATGTTCTGTAGAAAAAGAGTGAGGATAAGCTTCTGGAAGAAGGGATAGTGGGCAAAAAGCTACAGAAAAGAACAATATAATAACAAGAATATATCACGAACTGTGTGAGAAGCAAGGTGAAAATGACAACAGAATGTGAAGAGAGACTGCAAGAGCTCTGAGGGGAGAAAACACAATATCAGGAAATAGCAATTATCTCTAGTTCATTTGTGCAAATGATACACAGGGGCATGGCGCCTCTTGGAAAGCTTAATCAGAGAATCCGCAAAAGGGAAAACAACTCTTATTTAGTCTGAATCCGTGCCTCAGGCCCACATCAAGAAGTAATGGTCCAAGAGTCACATTCTATCACTGGCTGTGTTGCAGCTATAATCAAATCTCCTGATAGGAACAAAAATGCTTAAAAAATACACTGCATAAGAATTAACTGACAAAAATGAAGAAACTTAAAGAAAATTGCAAGGAAAAGCTAGAAGGGTATAATGCGAGCAGACAAGTGTGGAAAGTGCTGAAAGACTCAATGTTGAATGGTTGGTGTAGGTGTATGGCACCCATAAAGAGGCTGCTGTTCAACCGATTTCTATGTAATTTGTGCCTAGAAACAAAATGAATAGCGTACTGATAAAGTTTGCTGATGACATAGAGTTATTCAGGATAACTGACTGCAAAGAGTTTCAAAAAAGAGTCTCATGTGAAACTAATGACTGGGTGCAAAATTGCAGAAAAATACTTGTCAATAAATGCTAGGAAATGCACACAGAAAAAAGAACTAAGTATACATTCACAGTGGTACCTTCTATTCCTGTTCAGGAGAGAGATATTGAAGTCATTATCAGAGTAGTTTTCAGTTCTCTGAAAACATTAGCTCCATATTCAAACCTGGTCTAAAAAGTATTCAAATATTAAGAAGAAAAATGAAAACAATACAGCAAATATTGCTCTGACACAAGGTAAATAACTGGTGCAACTGTATCTTGAATACTGCATGAAATTCAGGTTTTCTGCATCTCTAAAAGGGTATAGATGCACCAGTCGATGTCCTTAAATGGACCAAAGATGCAAACTATTTCTGTGTGAGGCTGGATTAGCAGGCTAGGGTTCTTCACTTGAGAAACGAGGTGTATCATACAAAAGAGGCATATGTACTTGAGAGACAAGTGATAGCATTCTTGAACCCACAATTGATAGAAGTTACTGAATAGCACGTAAACCTCCATGGCTTCTTACAACAAGAGAACCACAGGGAAGATTTAAAACAGAAGGGACCATTTTTAAAAATATATATAGAATTAAATTGCAGATCCCCTTGACATATTAATTTGTGTAATCAGAAGTACAAGTGAGTCCAAAAAAGTATTCGTGGAGGACAGATCCATCACTCGCTGTATTAGACATAAGATTCATGAAGCCTCTGGTTCAGGAAATTCTTCAGCTGCCGACTGCAGGAAGCCAGGGGAGAGCAGCAAGGAGGAGATTGCGCTTCTCTCCTTGCTTTTTTCCTCTGAATGCATTTTTGATCCAACCCAAAATGATGGTTTCCCCTGCTCTGATACTATTTTCACCACCTGCAAGTCTCTTTCCTGCAATTTAGGACAAAACTAACTTTCATTTAGAGTACTGGCCGTTATGACAAATGCACTTTCAAGTCTATGGACCCTTGTTTTGTGTTGTTTGGAAGGTGTGAAATCACCTCAAAGAGCTAATGAAAGATGATTGACATTATCAGCCCCAGTGCCTCCAACTTGCCAGTATGGGAGGAGTTGCAGGAGAAACTGATTTGAGCCTCTGCTGTGTGGTCCAAGGTTGTCAGGTTGGCTCAGTTAGGTTCCTGCTGGGGTAATCTAAAGCAAATCCTGAGATTTAAGAGAGTAGAGAAGCAGGCTTATGTTGCTGCTGGAGTGAAATCAGGCCCTAAGTGAATATTTATACCTCACTGCCAGATACAGTGAATAGTTCCATCTTTGCAATAGCACCTTATTAATTCAGTTTAAACACATTTCAGTGTTTAAGGAATTTAATGTAAAGAAAAAAGAATTAAATTATTTTTGATAAATGGCCTGCTTTAGGTGAATGTGATTGTATGGGTATCATGGTCCCTGACAGGTTCAGCTTTGATTAAAAACAATAGTGTACGGTACGTCTCGTGATGATTTGTGGTTTCAGTATCGTTTGATGTTGCTCCAGGAAGATGTTCTCTTTCTTTCCCTGGGTTATGCATTTCTGAATGTAATACATCACCCATAACTTTTAAGATTATCACACAAATTTATTGTGACAACAATAAACTTTTGCTCGGCATGGGATTTTATTAATAAACTGTAATTTCTTAAATGGTACTTGATGCCTTTTTAATTAAAAAGACCATAATGTGTCAATGCCAAACTCTCAACTACTGCTATAAGGCCTGAGCATTTTGGAATTGATTTCTGTTCGTGTTAAATGAGAGAAACATACAGGCAGAGCAGCTGAATAGCTAAATGATAAAAGGCCCTATTTCTTTAAAGCTTGTCTTTTGATCCTCACATTGCTGCAGAGGCACCGAATGCACTATTCATTGCAAGGGGAGTGTTTTCCTATCTCAGCTAGATTTCATGCTGTTATTCTTGTAATTGTAAAGTGTCTCTTTTTCTGAAGCAAAATGGATCTGATGGTGAATGGTGGTCACCCTGACAGACTCCAACAGGCTGCACACACACAGCTTCTGCTAGCGTTTTCTATACTTAACGTTTCTAGAAAGAGTTGAAAGTTTGCACTTTTTTTTTCCCTTGAAGGAACTTTTATTTTCCTGTGGGAACCAACATCTCAATAGTGTAACCAAAAAACTATTTTATCGTTGTAGCCAGAAGTGTTTTATGTGGAAATATCTGCAGGACCTGACCCAGGCATTTCCACTGAAGCAACTCAAAGAAGAGGGTTGGCTAGGTACAGCTAGTTCTACGGCTTTGCTGTTTCAGCATCTTCAGTTTTCATTCTTTCCGATGCTAACCCAGGATTGTTTAATATTCTTATTTCTCATGTAACATCACTCATTTAGCACAGCTAAAGTTTTGCTGAGGTCCCTGCTGTGCACGAGACCTGATCAGCCTCACTGTCTGCTGTGAATTGCCTTAGTCTGAGAGCCCTGAGCCGGCCTGTAGAGCTGCCAGTAGGCAAATTTCTTCCCAATTCTGAGATCAATTGCCCTTTTCAGGGCAAAAATTTTTGCTGAAATTAGAGTGAAATCTAACCTAGATTCTAACTTAAGAAAAGTTCTGCTACTTGAATTACTGTCGTAACTATGAGGCATTCTCCAAGCCAGGCATGTCTGTATTGTATATGTGGTTATCAAGCAAGAGTTGGATTATCTATTGTCTGTCAAGAAAGGAAGAGAAGTAGTTAGGCAGTTTTCGCTTAGTTCTTTTTTAATGGCTGTTTTCAACAGAATAACTAGCCCTGGCTATTACAAGAACCATGTATGGACTTGATTTCAGAAGTGCTTCTTTCAGACTGCAGATGAGCCTTAAGTGAGGATTAAAAAGGGCCAGGTTGCTTTGTCATTAACATGGTGGTAACTATTTATTGAGAAAATGAGACTGTTTTACTGTTTATTGCTGACCTGAAAGATGTCACTCGTGTCAATGTGTTTCTAAATTCTACTTTGTTTTTAGAATAAGTTAGTATGTTATGAACTCTTCTCACTTGCTAGAGATAGCACATATTAGAGAATAACACGTAGCACAATAAGAGATAAATAATCAGTTCCTGTGGTTCAAATATCTGGCTGCCGTTGTGTCAGAACCAGTACTTATCCTTATACTCTGTATTCATTAGTGTCTTGAGGGATGCTTATTCACCTCATCTGTTCTGTTCCAGTGATTCACCATTTTTCAACGAAAGAGAGGCGCATGCGAGCAATAAGGGAGATGGCTCGCATCTTGAGAGTAGGAGGCCAGATAATGATATATGTGTGGGCAATGGAGCAAAAACGGAGAAGATTTGAAAAGCAAGATGTCTTTGTTCCTTGGAATCCTTCACCTCCCTCCTGCTCCTCGGGTGATCCATGTTCACCTGGAATACAAAAATCAATTCTTCGCAAGGACAAAAAGCTGGCTTTGAACCAGTGCTGCCATAAGTTGGATGACACTTTAGAGGTATATAGGAAAGCCAGAAGTTCTTCCTGTGGAGCGGGGAAAAAACCCCTGTGCACAGTTCTTGATAAATCGCTGAGATGGTCTCTGTTCTCAAGATCACTTGACTCTGTATTAGACTTGGGCAATCAGTGGCACCGAGAGGAGCTCATTAGATATCGCAATTACAGCATTCAGATGAATGAATTAAACAGAAAAAAAAGACTTGAAAAAAACAGGGAGTGTGGCTTTCTGAAACACGTTTCCAACTTTTTTCTACACTGCAAAGAAAGTTTTGAAAATACAACAGCTTTTGAAGTGGCTGTTAAACCTATGCTGCCCATGTCACATTGTTCCAAGGCTTTCAGAAGTTGCTACTCAGAATTAGGCCAAGAGACTATACAGCTCCCTACTGCTGCAGATACTATTCACGGCTGCAGCAGAGTGTGTTTACCTGACCTGATTTCACATCAGAAAGAATTAGCTGTCAGACAACAACTTAAAATAGATCATCACTCAAAACAAGGAGCTTTCTGCGAACCTCAGAACAAAACCAGAATAGGCTGCTCTCCACAGAAAACAGTCGATGAATGTGTCCCGAGCATGAAGAACAGACAGCAGCAGGGTCCTAATGGGGCCTGTCTAAGGTATTACCATGTTTTTAAAGAAGGCGAGTTGGCTGAACTGATAGAACGTCATATTCCTGAGCTACATATTATTGATTCATACTTTGACCATGCAAATTGGTGTGTGATTGCAGAGAAGACTAAAGTGTGGACAATCTAGGGGAACTTTTTTTATTGAAAGGCACAAAGACCACTTAGGGGCTTTCTTCCTTTTGAAAGCTCCATGCCTTTGAAAATCTTTCCTGAAGCTTTTCATAGCCTTGAGTTTCTTCAGGGCCAAGGGGGAAGTATGAGGAGGGCAGTATTTTGCAACTCTTAGGCTCTGTGACTGTTTTCTTTGATTTTGTTCTTAAAATATATTTCTATTGAAATATTTTTTTTTTCTAGAGGTATTATTTCCTATGAGCACATTTGAGCACACTGATCCTTTTTAATAAATAGGTGCCAGCTGTGTTTTGTTGCTTTAAAAAAGGTAGAATACAGTTGGAAGCACATTGCTGGATTGTTTTTTATGTGTGCTTTAAAAGTCTTTGTTACTCGTTTATAACTATGTACTTATTCATGTCATATTTGTATTTTAGAATTTATTGTACTCTGGCACTTGATGTAACATAGCATAGGAAGTAATTGAAGGATGCGTTATTTTATTACAGTTCACTTTGTCAGCATATATGAAACTTCCAGTCATACTGGACAGACAGTCTTTTACAAGAATTACCATATATATGTGGTATGTATATAGTTCTCATAGCAGAGACAGTAACTGGTGACAGTGTCACACAGTCTAGAGAACTTTTTCATTGCCTGGTAACAGTTGCAGCCAAGAAAGCAGATAGATATTTGCCTCCATATATGCCAGTGTATGACCCCCAAAAAAATCAGTCTTAAAAGTGAGCTTGACATGTATGTTCAAACTAAATTCCACTGTAAGCAAAACTTGTAGCAGTCATAAGGATTTAGTAACCCATTTAAAACTGTAAAGTGAATGAGCATAGCACAGAAAAGTGTTCCAATGACTGTTAGTCAACTGAGAAAATATTTACTAACATCAGCATGCAATAATAATGCATTTATCCATGGGTCTGCCTTTTTCAAAGATCAGCTGCACTATCCAGTTTTTATAGATACTGGGGTATATTTACTGGGGTAAATAACTGTGCTTAAGATCACATAAAATGGAATAAAGCTTTAAAAGAAAAACTAACAAACATACAAAAATCCGAAGCAACGTGCCTGCGTTGTTAATGATTATGTATGTACTGGGGAGCTCTGTCCATAGTTTAACTTCCTACCTTCGTTTCTGTGGATTCATGAATCAGCTAGTCAGAGATCAGTCTTGTTTTCTGACAAATATGCCCTTGCATATTCTTTATGTGTCTATGAGTAACAGATGCATATCACATTTCCAAAAGTAGCATGGAACCGTACGCTAATCTGAGTTTTTTAATGCAGCTTTAATTCAATTTGGATATAATATCTGTAATCACATTTCCTTTACTTCCTCCCACAGAGTTCATGTCGGCTGTATCATACATCTTGCATTTTCAGGGGGAAAAGCTGGAGGAGCTAATCAGTGTCTTCCATCTGTAATGACTGCCTCTGCAGTATTTCTTTTTTCCCCCTAAATGTTAGTATCTCTGTGCAAGTGAAAAAAAATAATTTTTGGTCACAAAATGTTGCTGCCGTTCTGATCTGAACACGCTCTTCTCTTCATTTTATTCATTTGTACCATTGTCAGAAGGACTTGATAGATTTCCCTATTTTTAATGCAAATTCAGGTTGTAATAAACAACAGTAGCAGCACATTGCAGCTCTGAGCTTCTGCATCATGTCTTTTCCTGGTGTTTAACAGGTTGTTAACCCACAGAACACATTGGAAAAATATATTTGATTGTAGCTGCCAACCATTCATTTCCCTCAAGCGTACCTGATGCTTAGTTTTCCTGGAAACTAAATGAAGCTGACTGGTCCTCTTTAGCTTGCTCCAGCACCAACTGCAAAAACGCTGCTCATTATCTCCAGTTCTTCCCTAGGATGCGGTAAGTCACTGCTAGATTTCTGCTGATGCTATTCCTCCTGGGTCTTCCTGCTCCACGGGGTTCCTAAAACAAGATCCATGTCACAGAGAGTATGTAGCCTAACTGGAAGGAATTTTAATTTGGGGGCAACTGTCAGTGGCTCTAACAACTATCCCTTTCAGCAAGGAATTAATGTCCTTATTTTGAATGAAATGAACTGCAAAGGCCCGCTTCTTATGTAGCAGAGCGGATTGGACATGCTTCCACACATGAAGGTTTTTTGGTCGCCCTTGAAAAGTACAGAGTGCTTTCCGAGACCAGAGAGAATTCAGCCTCTTGCAAATGAAGCTGCCACAGGACAGGGCATAGCTATGCAAGGAAAGAAAGTAAAAACAACATGGATTTGGTTGGAAGGGTGGAGGTAATGCATTAATACTTCCTCACATTGATGCATGTTCACAAATGTTACAAAGCCATATGTTCTACTTGAAATTGCCACTTTAATCAGAATGTCTGTAGCAAATCCAGGACTTCAAGCTCATTCTTTCATTCTTCAAGCTCATCACGGCCAGTATTTGTCTGTAGTCCTCAGGGTAGGTGCTACTGTGAGCTCATGACCAAGGAGTGTTGCCTGCATATCCCTATTTTGTAGGAACCACGTGGCAAATTTCATTGTTAAGCTGTAAACAGACAAAAAGAAGCATCCTAGATCCACTCTTCTCTATGGCATCTTCCACTGTAAAGTTATGGTCCTTTGAGGCCTCATCTGTCCAAGGAACACTTTCAGAAAAGCTTCCAGTGTCTCTAACACCATTTCTGATCTACCAGTGATGATGACCTTTAGAAATGCTAATATTAATAAAACCATTTTCTTTCTCTCTTTTTGATTTTCAGGTCCCTAAAAATTTCCCAGGGTGTCAGAGATTCCGCCATAGAGGTGACAGACAGTCAGTTTGCTTGTCCTAATTCCTTTCATGGGCCCCTTAGATATAGTTCATAGCCATCTGGGGACCCATGAGCACAGCACGGGGCCCACTGTTTTGTGCGTTGCCGCGTTAAACACCGTCTCATTGAGTCTTACTCAGATTATGGGCAGCTCGCAAACTAGCTGCAGCCAGTGCTGCTCACATCAGCAGAGCTAAGGCACTATGAGCACATCAGTGTTTTATCTTCCTTTAGCATAAACAGGTTTGATGAGTATGAGTCTTTCAGAAAAGATTTTTGCCCACTGGGTGTTAAATGTCTGTCTTTTTCTAATTGTCTGCTAATTGGCAAAGAAGCTAATCCCACTTATTATCAAAATTCTTTCTCCAGAGAAAACTCAGCTGAAAGTTTCATAAGTTCTTTTTCCTCATCCCTATTAATTTAAAAAATCGTTCCAGTATCGTTTGGTAGCTATCACCTAAGGACGTGTTCTGTTTGAGTTAATCGTTTCCTTCAAGGTTATCTGTGATCTGTTTGAAAGTGCCTTAGCCAGCATCTTGCTTTCTGTCTTAATTAGTTATTACTGCCCTAAAATTGTCACTTACCATAGGCATTTGTACTGACCTCTCAAATTAATATCACCCAAGAAATTGAAAGTGGAAGGAACCTATTCGGTCCCCTTTTCTATCCTCCTAAGTGTTATTCATGGTGTGTGGTAGAGAACCCAAGTGTAGGATATGATTAAGAGCACAGCAGTTAACTTGTCTTTGAAATGTAAATACAATTAATTAGTATACCTGCCTTCCCCCAGGATCTGTCCTTGTCTGCTTCTTCCTTCTTTCCTCTTTCTTCCCTTTGGTTAGACTATTCCTTCCCTTCCCACACAAGACTGAAAATAACATTTTATAGAGGGATTCCAAGTGGCAAAAAGAACAGAAAATTATTAATAGATTTCTCAAAATGTTTGCTTTACTAGCATGCTGTTCAGTTCTCATTATGACTAGGATTATGATAAGTGTCACGTCTCTAATTTAGCACATACAGATCATTTCACACGAACACACTATTGCAAGTTAAAAAAAAAAAAAAAAGAGTTCCAGTTTGCTTACAGAGTCATTTCATTTAAACCCATGTTGACAACAGTTAGCTACAGTGTCCACTCACTGGCTGTCACAAACTTCCAAATAACAGTACTGCATTTAATTCAGTGAAGTAGAGAGTCCTGGGAAAGAAAACGTCTTAGGAGAAGCACTCGGCCATTTCCACTAAGCCTGCCAAGAGAGGGAGCAGTAGATCTTCATGTCCCAGCCCTCAACTGCCTAGACCCAAACTCTCCTATTTATATTTATAAATGTATACAGTGGCACGAAAGAAGGTTAAAAATACCCAAGAAAGGTATTTTAAAAGTAAGCCATGCCAGAGCTGTCATATTGGAATGCAAACAGGAAAGGCACCTTCTACAAAACCAGTCTTCTAGTAAAATACAGGCTTCCTCCTGATAAAGCTCAGAAGCTTTTTTTTCCCCCACCAACCCTCTCTCCTCACCCCCATATTCAGGCAGCTCTACACAGCTTTGTACAAAACCAATTGAGAATATCTTCTGTTGCACCCTGATGATCTACTGCATCTTCAAACACAAAAACTTTAAAGCACAAGACTGCTCCATTTCAATGTGCAGAAGAGTTGAGCAAATGTGGCAGAGGACCAGCACAGCTGAACAGGGTACTCCTGGCAGAGCTCAAATGCAAAAAGGAAGGTTCCAGTTAGAAGTTTTTAGAAATTACAAAATTAAGAAAAAAAAAAATCACTGTGAGGGCAGTCAAATAGTGGCATGGGTTGCCCAGAGAGTTTGTGGGAACTCTGTCCTTAAACCTGAACTGGCAAAGCACAAGCAGCCTGAGCTGGGCCTTCTTGGAGCAGAGGATAAGGAAAGGTGACCTCCCAGGGTCCCCGCCAGCCTAAGGGATTAGGTGACTCTGTGACGATCAGTGCTGCATCAGGGAGGACCTCGAGTGCCTTCCCTCTGGCACTGGCTGTGTGGGCTCAGGGCCACCTAGAGAAAGTGCAAGTGAGGGCTGCCCCCTTCTCCAGAAGGGCCATGGGGAGAGGTTGCCAACAGGCCTGCTGGGAAGCATTGCCAAGACCTGTTCCCCCCCAGTCCCCAAACCTTGTCACCCTGGCCTGTCCATCACCCAGCTATGGCTAACCCCAGGCACCCACACTGTGCCTGATCCAGCACCTGACATGGTTTCCCAGCTTGAGCTTTAGATCCACCTCTTAGACTTGCCTCACGGTTTGGACACTCAGTGGTACCATCACTCCTCTGCGTGCCATGAATTTTGGTTGCCAGCTCCCCTCCCTTTGCAGCTCAGCCTGCCCTTGCTGCTCCCTGACACACCATGGAAAGACTTCCTTCCCTCCATTCATATATATATTTTTCTTCCATCTTCCTGTTCTGCATTAAGGGTCCAGCCAGAGTGGGTTTTGGAAAACATGGCCTCTGTCCCAGCTCTTGAAAATGAGAAGCAGGCTGCAGACCCTGGCTTTCATAGGAAGGATTAATGAATGGCTGTGGCTGACAAGCTGCACTCAGGCTGGGAAGAGAGCAGGTACATGGAGGAGACAGGCAAAAAACGGAAGCTGTGGTGCTGCGTTTGAATTACAACTACGAGACAGTAACTAGCTCAGTGACCATCATTTTTGGAAGTTATAGTCAATTTGCCCTTTTAGGGCTATTTTAGGAGATTCTTGGGTTCCTGTTCACCTCAAAACAAACCAACCAACCAACCATTTGTTTCCTCAAAACACAGCCATTTAGACCACTGATTGAGCAAACCCCACAAGAGTTTCAAAGGAACAGCAGTCACATAAAGGACTATGACGGACACATTCCTGATGAAGTACTTTATTGTATCAAAGTCAAACGTTTCTCCTGATGCAGTAAAGCAGACATTTCTGAGCTGCAGCTACATTTCTCTTGCCAAGCCACCCATACATATTGCTATTAGACCAAGAGTAAGCATGCTCCCAGCTCCGTGTTACTGGTCGGAAGCAGAGGACAACAAGGTTGGCTGTTGCTGTACATTTTAGATAATATTACATAGTGCCTTGTTCCTAAGACAGGCCAGTGGTGAACAGACTGATATCTACGACCCAGGACAGGGCTAAGGAACAGCACTAATTGTCAGGATGTAAGGGGTTATGGGTTCACACATGGTTCAGTAGTGTCAGTTTGATTTTGACAATGGAAGTGGTAGTAAAGCACTTCAGGCTTCTTCTGCTTACATCATCTTTTGTCTCACTCATATTTAAGACCCATCAAATCCATCCCCACTGAAATACTGCCTAGCATTCAAATGACTGGAATATTATTGACTCAAAGACTACTGAAACAGAGTATACAATCTGTATTAAAAAGAAAAAAAGAGAGAGAGAGAGAGAGAGAGAGAGAGAGAGAGACTAGGTTAAGGCTGAGATGTGCTAGTTAATTTGGACAGAACAATTTCAATTTTCATGACCAAAAAAAATTCCTTGGGCTACTGAAGTTAACAACAAACTCCTTAATCTTAATGAAGTTGTGATGAAAATAACTAATTCTTGACATGCAACATGCATGATATGCTAATGATTAGCCTGCAGGGCACATTCAACAACAGAGGTTTATCTTGCATACTAACATTTATTTTTAATATGGAGGGAAAGAATGTAAAGATCAAGAGAAACAGTTAGACTTTCAAGAACTAGAAGCACATTTCACTGTCATCTTAAGCAGACTGCAACTTTGGGTTTTCTGTTGTGGGTCACTGATTGAAATCTAATGCAGTAAATTCATGCAGCACTAATTGTTAGTACAGGCAAAAAATGCTTAAGCAAGAAGGATTAAAGATTGCTCAGGCATACCAGAGCTCTTTCCAACAAGACAAATTACACCTATTATTTTATATCAATGAACTGTAATAATCTTGAATTTCCTGCACTGGAAGGAAAATTTGTGATAATGAACTCTTCTCTTATCTACCTTACCTTCTAACCTGTAATAATCAGGGTGCCTTTTTGGTAGACATGGGGAAATTTCTCATGTCAGCACTGCTCCTATGAACTTATTAAATAAAATACCTTTAAACCTTCCACTCAGATCATATTTTTATTATGATTAATGCTCTGAGTAGTTCTATGTACTTTACCTCAGATGCCTGAGAAGACTGATTTTAAAAATTTTCAATATTTCTCACAGGAGTTAACACAGACACAGGGAATAAAGAGGTCTGAATTCATCTTTCACCCTTTGCACAGATGATTTTTTCAGAACAAGGGAAGTTTTAAATAGAATAGTTGCTGGTTTTAGTTTCGTGATTTTTTTTTTTTTTCCCAAAAAAATCACTTTCACCTCTGGCTTTCAATGCTAGCACAAAAGTGACTCCTCTGCCACCTGTTAGACTTGTTCAGTGCTTAAGTCCCACCCGGGTAGAAGTAGCTTGAAGTTTTCATTTTGATCTAGCAGGAGGTAATGCTGGATAAAAGCAAGGGTAATCCTCTCAGCATGCAACTCAGAAGCAATTCTAAGCACATCTCAAAAGATGAAATCAGCTGAAGCAGCGGATCATCTAGAAGTTGGTCCTGTGCTATTCAGTGTTTAAAAGTGTATTTGCACTGCCTCTCCCACTTGATCTGTGAAAGAGAGCAGGTGTGCACTGTTCAGCATAGGCCCAACACACCCACTGTGGCTGGGATGTGGCACACCTACAAGCTGTGCAGGCAGCCTGTGCCCACTCCACGAGGCCATTGCTTACTGTAAAAGGAGAACCTGAGTCTGGTAAAAGGCTTATACGGTGCTGTTACGCGGTAGCCTCAAAGGGGAAAATGGTCAAAAACAAGGATGAGATGGAGCAGAAGTCTTGATAATTACCCATTTTTTGGAGGGACGCAACTCATAGTTTCAAAACTACCAGGGACAGGAAAGTACGGGATATAGTTACAGAGTTCCTTGAAAAGAGGAAGAAACCATGAACTTGATATGGCTGAAAGTGAGCCAGCAGTGGAAATCTGAGGTGTGAAGAATTGTGTGACGTTTGGGAAGCCGCACTGAAGGAACTCTCACCCTTGATTAAAGATGGAACGACAGGCCAGTGATTCTTGAACTTTACAGAGCTGCACTTGCTTGGTAAACTTGGGACTTCCTTTTCCCTGACATTATCCCTCTCTAGCCTGCCACAAACCTCCAGGCACTTGACAGTAGCGCCTCTGTCCCTTAACTGAAACAATATAACCAATCTATTCTTACACCAACACATACACCTTACAGTCCAATTTCCTATCCAGCTCAACTTGTTGCATTCCTTTACAGCGAGTACCACATCTTCTAGCCCCTTCTCACTGATGCTTTTCAGACCCAAGAGCCATCTTTGCTCAAGTGCCTGTACTCTAGATGTCTTCAGGACCTTCCCACATGAATAGCAGTCTCCCTAGACATTTGTTTCTACTTTTCAGAACTACTTAATTCTGGGTAAGCCTGGATTTAATCAAATTCAAAGCTACCCCTCACGCTGTTACAGCCAACCTGCTCATACGTCACCTCTGTCATTCCTATCTCTCAATGCACAACATGAGGGAAGGGATGGCACAAACCACTGCTTTCTCCAGCATGGCCCTGGCACAATGCTCCATGTTACCTCAAAGCTAGTCAAAAGGGAAAGCAGCATCTAAGAAGGCTGTCCTCTAAGGAGGCATTCCCCAGAAGTACAACATTTAATAATCATAATGGATACTAAAGCAATTCTTCCCTCAAGAACTACTGTAGGGAGGGGGAAGTGTGTGTGGACACTTAGCAGACACTGCCCCCATGTATTTGAGTTTGGGTGTTCCGTGCTGTGGAAAGATGAAGAGGTAGGAGCAGGATAACATCATTAACAGAGGGAAATGACAGCTTTCTGGAACAGTGATAGTCATTTCATCCATCCGTAATGCCTGATCGTTACCCCATTTTTCCATCCCTGATTGATCTTGATTCACCTGAGGAAGAGCACACTAAAAATGAAATAGTTCAAGAAGAGGCAGCAAGAACAGCTACACAAAAATTTATATTGGGTGTTCAGTCTTCTAGACAAAACAGCTGAGATATTTTGCAACAGTATCCCCTTCACCTGACAAACTTGTGATCCTGTTCCTGCCTCTCCATCCACATCAATACTGTCCCTGCATATTTGCATTGTATTCCTATAGAGAAAGAAAATGCGTCACCATCCACTGAACTCAAATGCTTCAACTATAAGAATGACAGTGGTTCACATAGTATGGTGTTAAACTATGAGTGACAGAACTTTGAAACGAGAGAGAAGCGAGGGAGAGCAGAAAGGTGGTATAACTCTTGGAGAGCAGGGCAGAGAGACACAGAGGCAGTTTTTGTGAAGCTTTCCAGTAGTCCAGGATGCCGTTCATATCCTCTCCTGGCACCCATTCCAAGGACAGATGATTAAAAGAAATAACGGGCAAAGACTTTTAAATGGTGTCACCCACCATCATCATCACATTCTCTACTTATAATAGGCAAAAAGTGAAATATTTTGTTTGGCTTTTGAAAACAAGCCGACAGACCAGGCTCCTGAAACAGCAGGCAATTGGTACTTGTGTCCTCCTCTGCCATTCTTGTGCTCCTTCTTGTAATGGAAAACAATTTAAACCTTCATTTCCACTATGTTGACTCTGCTAAGTTAATCTATCTCAGAATTGACTCTAATGATAAAATAGTGGTTTTTCAAGATCTCTGACAGTCATCAGGTTGCACTCTGACAAACTACCAGTGCTGTGGATTTGAGGGGGAGGGAAGATGGTAGAGAAAGTCCATCTTCTAGACTTCTTCAGTTTCAAGGAGACCAGCTAAAATAAAGAGGGACAGGGAAAGGATATGAGAATGACGTTAGAGCATGAAGTAGCTGTCTCTGAGAATGAATCTGAAGGCACACTGTGTATTAACAACCTGCAGATGGTTAATTTCCAAGAGAATGGGAATGACACTAGGTCTTCGAGAAGGATTAATACTGCCTTTTAAAAATTATAGAAGGATGACAGAGTTATTACCAAGTAGTGAGATTCCTTCCATATCAATTACTAGAGACAAGCCCCTAGACTGCAAGCAAATACCATTATGCATAAACTAGCTCTGACTCAGTCCCCAAGAGGGGGGGGGGGGGAGGAGGAGGTTGGGAAACAGTATTCCATTCAAAAAGAGGCTATGTAACAACAGTCTAAACGAGCACAGGGAAAGTGACAAATGGCACTGATTTGATCTTTTCTAGGGTACCACAGTATATAGACATAACATGCGGAAGACTTTCGGCCTAAGTTGGTGTAGGTACTTTACCTCAGTGGCTCTCTGAAGATTTACACTAGGGGTAAGTATGTCCCACCTTTCTAAAAGCCAGTCTATAACAAAGTAACCAAATACACTATGCCTTTGATTCCCTTCAGGGTGTAATGCTAATTCAGTGCTTCCTTTTTTTTCCCCTACTCTTTTTTAATTTATTCTGCTACTGTTAACAAATACTTTTCACCTCTTAAAAATGAGGTGTAAAACAGATTTTAAAAGTTTAAACAACAGTAAGGTTTGAAGCAAAAGTCAAAGGAAAAAGTTCATGTCTTTACATGAACAGCACTATATACATTGAGGTGAACATGGAAGTGTCAGCTGGCAAGTTGCCTTGCTTTGTATGGCTATATTTCTTCTAAACAAAAAAATTGTATGACATCAAATTGATTTATAAGTAATACAAAACTATTACTCATCCACAATTTCAATGCAACCACCTATAAACAAGATTTAAAAAAAAATATTTGGTGTCAGCACTCTGCAAAGATACATTGTGTGTGTTGGGGAAAAGTTTTTCAGGTGGCTTTTTTTTTTTTGCACCTCAAAAACCTTTAAACAAACAATGAGATGTATAAATAAGTAGGCAGGACATAAATGCTCACATTGGAACTTACCACAACATGGAAAAAATCATCTTTTGCTTGAGCAATCAAAAAGCAGCACATAGCATTTATGTTCTTTCTTGAAGTGAACTAACACATAGTGCAGACTATGATCTCATACATCTTCCGAAGCAACTTCTTGTCCTTCTGAAAGGCTAGCACAAAAAAGCTGAACACATTTTCTACGGCTCTAAAGATGAATTTGCTGCCTTTTTAAACAATTCATCTAGTTTCTAAAGCTGAGCAAACACTGTTCTTTAGTTCACTGTGTTTTATATTAATAGCAAAATAAAATATTTGTCTTTGAACTAAGCCCGCTTGCATCAATCACGGACAAGTAGGTCATGTTGTTAGCAAAGCTGTTAGTATCATGACATAGCCTACTATATACAACTTTCAGTATCAGTGTTAGAACATCATGTCTTCTAGTCCATCCTCCATAAACTTCTTGTAAATTGCCATAAACTTTGCCACAAACGCTTCCAAATGATAAATGGCTTTGCTGCCCAATTGCAGACGGTGTTCATAGAAGGCTGCCATCTGTGCAACTTCTCCTTTCAATTGTCCATCACAGTTATTTAGAAGTTCTGACAGGAGGCCCTAAAAGGGGAAAAACAGGACAGTGTTAGAAAAATTATATACTTTTTGATAAAGGGCATAACCTCATTTTTCTAAAAATAGCCAAGCAAGAATCATCAGTCTGAATTTCAGCTTGCTTGAGAATTGAACAGAAAAGAAGTTCAAGAATTATTACACCACCCATCTGACAGAGCTAGACTTTTGGAGTTTTGTTTCTTCAGAAGCTTCTTTCAGGGTAAATTCCTCAGGTCAAAACAAAAGTTACCTGTTGTACTCTTAGATGAGAAAACAAAGAAACAAAAACATATAATTGAACTACTTCTGCCTTAATAAAGCAAATAAATTAACCTTAGACATCAGATATTATAACCTCTACTGCATGCCAGCACATGACCCTGAAGAAACTTTGAACAAGGGAGCAAGGGTAGTAATATTATTTATTTCTGTTTGTGCTCAGTGCTGTTGTGATAGGAAACAGACAGCTTATTAATAACAGGGAAATAACAAAGTTTATATGTGTGTGTGTGTGTGTGTATAGACAGGCATACACAAGATACTTCACAATATTTCAGGCATTCCAAAAACCAAAAAACCCACCCTCCTCAAAAACCACCACCCTCCTCCCCCCAAAAAAACAATTAGATCTAAGACAGTGATAAAGACATTGCAAAGTTACTCCTACTGAAACAGCTAGGATTAAGGGAGAAGTAGCTCTAGAGCATTTCAAGTTTACGAAGAGGAAGTGGGTAAAGAACATCCACCTTCATGTTGAAGATAAGAGCCTTCAAAAACAGAGCAATGCAGAATCCACTAACCCACTGTGAGCAAAGGTTAAAGAAAAGTCTAACTACAGAAACTCTCACAAAGTAGAAGTTAACGTGACAAGAAATTTATTATCTTGCAATTATGCCTCATGGTAGTCTCTACCCAGGAGAGTTGCAAACATTAACTTTAATCTTAGTTCTGCTATAATTTTCTTCCACATCCCTTCATCCTGCCTAAAATAAAAACATATATGTCCCATTTGTTTACTTCTCCCAAGCAGTTTGTGTCTTTGAAGAGACGTGCTGCTCTAGCTTCTCCTTCATGGAAACTTTCCAATACGACATAGCAAATATATAATCAAAATTTAACAAAACTTTTACTAAAAAAAACCTATAAAGCCTATCTCAGACTATGGCCTGAGAAGCCTTCAGGGGGACAAAGCATGTCCTTCTTTGTTTTCAGCTATGATGATGATCTGTTCAGCTATGATGATGATCTATGATCTATGATCTGTTGGAGATCACAGAAAAAGTTTTTCATAAACTATTTAGAGGTGTGGACAAGGAAGCTTGTGATAAAACAAGTTAGACATCTTCCAAATTCGAGAATAGATTTTTCCCACCCCCAAAATCCACACAATTCAAAGCCACGATCCAAAATATATTTAGGCATGAACATAACTAAGCACTCAGTAGGTCCACTGAACATCTCAAGTACTGAATGCTAGATATCAGTGTTTGCAGGAACAAGGTCTTAACTTCAGCCACTGCTTCAAAGTGAACCCGAACTGTTTAGGTTACTCTAGCAGAAGTAAACAAAAAAGCACCGTGGGTTCACTCAAGTCTATTTGGAAAGGACATACATCATCCAAACACTGAAGAAAGGTTTTTGATGTCTTTTTTTAACCCCCAAATTGAGATTGTCATACGGTTGATATCTATAACTCATTAAGAGTCAAATAATAGCCAAATTACCTTCATAATGATCTCAGGAGGAATGCAGTGTGTTAGGAGTTCATAAAGTCGTCCACGAACCTCTAAAAGCCTGTTAGAAAATCACCACAAAAAAATCAGAGGAATGTCCACAAAGCATACTATATGTGTTTTCTATAGTCATGAACTATGTTGTGGAACAAAAAAAATAAAATAAAAAGAAAAACACCACACCTATTTTTTTTTTTTTTAAATAAGCCAAAAGCAGTACACAAGTTCACTTCACATGCTACATATCTTACCATTTTGAATAAAAGGCTGTAAGGTACATGTACTATAGCTATCACGGTCTCAGTTGATCTAGAAGCTACAAGGCTATTAGTACTCGCCTCTGGCTTGCTGCCTTTAATTCTTCTTCATCTCTAAAGTCTTACTATTCACGTCCAAGACTTGTGAGAAGTTGGCACAAAAACGATTAAAGTCAAGAATTCATTTAAGTTGCTTTTCCGTCCTGATTGTTTACAAGTGCTGGCAAAATGATTACATGGCAGAAAATGGTGCAATTATCAATTCTCAACTTTTGATATCAGGAGGTCATCACAGGCTACAAGCCTTTAAATTAAATTCAGTAAATGACTCCTCATATAATACAAAGAGCAGGCTGAGATGGACTAATAAAAGGGGAGAAAAGGCATGTCTTGCTAAGGATAGTGAAACAGAACAAAAAAACACCACACACACACCTGCAACACGTTCTAAAGAAGTCACAGAGAAGCTGATAGTGCACAATTAGAGCAAAACAGACCAGAAAGTGTTCAGATTTAACCACAGAATCAAAAAAAAAAAAAAAATTGAAAGAGATGTAGAAGGGCCATCTACTTGTGTTTAAAGTACTCCATTGTTGCTAAGACTTTTGTCCAATTTAAAATTTCCTGCAATTTGAGCTTATTATTTTTGAGCCTTCCCACCAGGGACATGAACAAAACTATTCCTTTCGTCTACAAATCTTTATTCTTCCCATTCTGTTCTCCTTAGGCTAAGCCTCATTCTTTCCATACAGGTAATGTTCTCCAGAACTCTGATTCTTTTTGGCAGTCTCCTCCAGATTCTCAGTTTGCCTAAAACATCTCAATGCAACGCTCAAAACTGGATATAGCATTCCAAAAGAAGCCTTACTAATGCTGCATAAACAGCAGAGACTTACTCCACTGTCACACAGTCTGCTTTTCTACTCTTGTAGAGAAAGTAAACTTAGTGAATTACAAATACATAATGCTAACTCACCTTCAACCTGTATTCAACTAAAAACTCTAGCTTACTTTATCAAACTCCTACTAATCAGTTCTTCAATATGCATTTGATTCTTCGTATCAAAGCACAACACCTCTTTTTTCTAAGCTTTCTCCAACTTTAAGAGCATTGTTAATTTCCGTCATCTTCCAATCTAACTGAAGTCCTTCCTAGCTTTGTATCATGATAAGTTACAGTTTCCCGATCAGCACTTACAGCAAATGGGTGGATCAAAAACAAAACAAAGAGAAACTAACACAGAAACACACACATAACCCCACAGATTACGTTCTGAAGGAGGACATACTTGTTCTGTGACACAAGGTAATTGTATTAGTGCTTGAAGCTCATCCAGCCTCCTCTGGTAGCTTTTAGCTTTAAAGCTCAGTTCCTTTGGCTACAAACTACCAACTAGCACAAATGCCAGAAAATTACAGGTAACTAAAGTAAAGATGCCACATTTTTAAATGTATCATTTCTTAGGCTCAGAAGTACTCTAACATAATATAGTTTGCAGAAACAGGCAAATATATCTACCTACCTCTGTGGTGTCTGTTGACTGACAATAGCATTTGCAGTTTCTCTCAAATATACCTCCCAGTCCATCTCAGGAATGTCTTGATCAGGAGTGAAAGGATACCTACACAAGAAGAAAATCATCACCTGTTCTAGCAATGGCATAGAAGTAAAATCATTTATGTGTCTAAGATTATAACCTATATTAATTTTTAGCAGTGACTTACTGCTGTACTCGGCAGGACTCGCACATAAGCAATGCTTTACGAAGATTCCTGCCAGACTTCTCCGCAAGCCTCTGAGCCAGCTCCTGAGGGAGAGTCAGGCCTTCCTTCTTACACACACTGGACAGCACATGACAGATCTAGATGCGAAACAGACAGCACAGCAGTCTAGACACCAGTCAACAGATAGTTTAGCACCTACAGATTTTCCAGTTCAAAACAATTCTGGACCAGAGATGGACTAGTCTCTCATAAGAGATGTTTGGCAAGTCAGTCACCACAAAGAAAAGCTAGGTCACTTTGTGCAAGTGAAATTATTCATAAGACCACCACAGCAAAAAGATATCTGGTAAAAATTTTTAAAGGACTTTTTTGTTTGTTTCCTTCTCACATACATCTTCAATGCTGGGAGCAGGCACTCGGACGGCCAGGCATCTGCTTTGAATAGGTGCAATAATTTTTGACATGGAGTTGCAGCACAGGATCAACCTGCAGGTGGCCATGTACTTTTCCATAGTTCTTCGCAAAGCATGCTGAGCATCTTTAGTAAGTTTGTCAACCTCTGTTAACAGCACCACTGAAAAACAATTTTAAAAGAGCACTTTTTAAAAATATCAAGTCTCTCTAGTAAAATGCATACTTTGAGGTAGGAGAATACCAAAATGAATGATATAACAAGCAAGGAGCAGCACAGTCCCACAGGCAGGAAAACAGAGTAAGATTAAGATGACCTATGCTCCTTTTTGACTGTGTAACAGGTTGGTCCATCACATCCTATATTCATTTACCAGAACGTCAATTTCTTGACATAACACTTCAGTGCTAAAAAATAATCCAGGTAGATTTAGAAACTTTCACTCTGATTACTAGCACAACAACTTTTTAAAGACATTTTAAATAAGCAAAGCAAATAAATTTACGGCATAAGGACACATTAAGAAGCACAATTTATTGAAGACTGTCCTCAATACCTTTTATATTTAGAAACACATGTCTTAGTTTAAGAAAGCAGGTGTAGAAAGCTGCCCTGTTATGATGGCTGCGAGGGCCTTTCCATGATCTTTTAAAGAAAGGGGGAAGAGGGGAGAATGTATTTTGCTTCAAAACAGTCAGGAGACACCTAACATGAAGCAGGTTAGCTAACTAGCTGTCTTCTACAGGCTCCTCCACAGGCAATTCAGAGATGGCTCATTTCTGTACTCTCAGTGTTGATTAAGAACAGTCTGGAGGAACAGGTCAGTCCATTGCTCTTCTCCTGTTTGTCCTCCGGTTATATCTGCAGCCTTAGGAGGACAGCCAACTTATCAGACACTTCAAGGGGTATAGTATGACTGCAGCTGTAGGCATATATACTTCAATATCTGGTAGAACCCAAACACAGTCTACCAACTTAAATGAAATGTAGTATTTCGTGAGAAGTGTGAGGAAAACAAAATGAAGTACTAAATCCAAGACAATTTTCAAATAATTTTTGCTCCACACTATCTGTCAAGATCTCTCCCTCCTTCAAGCTCTTGTAAAATAGTTCGAGTTTTGCTTTCATTTTAGCCATGACAAAAAAGCACTTGTAACAACGTGTGTCTTGAAAAACTTGATGAAAGATGCCTTCATTTTCTTACCCAGTTTTCTTCTACACGTTATAGATAAAATGCTTCTGAACTTTCTGCTGAAAATAATCATCCACAAAATCCCTACAAATAGGCAGCTAACACCTACTTACACAGAACCATTCACCATAAGGTTATTTTGCCTCTCCACTCAATATTTAGCCTCAGTAGCTTGTAAGTGAAATACTACTGTAGCTCAGTAAACCAAGTTACAGTGCATTTCAGAGGTAGACTTGAAAAGAGAGAGCAGGAGTCTATGCTCCCCATCCCCAGCTATACTCATTCAACTACAGCCAATTTTCCTAAGAAACCAATGCAATAAACTAGTACAGAGTACTTAACCACTCCAAATACTTCCACAGCAGCTGCAAACCACTGCAAGAAGTATGTGAAGTTGTTTAGTTTGGGAAAGGTTCATGTGCCCACAAGTATGACATGCATGCACACAGACAGCAAAAAAGAGGCATCTGAAATCACTGGAATGCACAAGTATTTTTCTTCTCCAGTATTCTGACTGACTTTAACCATTTTTACTCACCTTTAAAGTCTCTTTGAGTACTTGTCTCAAGCTGTTGGGATTGTGCTACTGTCTTCAAAAGCTCCTGGATTACTACACGGTCGTTGTTTCCTGCATCACTGCACAATGAGTTTAAATAAAATTTGTTTTAAAATAACCTTACATCATATATAAAATATATCTTCCTAAGCAGCCCCTTAGTCAGACAACTAAAAAAAAAAGAGAAAAGAGTTCAGAAGTTGAGGGTAGAATTCACCTACCTTCCACACACGTACTCCGTTGAAAGCTACCTTCATACCATTAAAAACAAACACTCATATCTTATGCAGGCACAGACAGGGAAGCAATGAAACAACCACAGTAAACTGTTTTATTAACTCTTTAAAATAAACCCTATTTTTATGGTATGAAAAGTCAGATCATTCAAAACGTGTCACCTGCAATTTGGGCAAAGACATTTACCAGAAACATTTTTACCAGACACTTAAAGCATCCTGCTGGGAAGAAAAAGTAATCAGACAATAGGATGCCTGACTCACTAAAAGGACTTATGTAAATACACATTTTTTTTCCTCCTTTAACTAGATATCTTATATGAACAACCTGTAGGTGTAATGTAACCTTGACGGGCAGACACAAAGTTACCAAAAATTATTAGTAAAAGATTGATACCAAGATGCTATTACAACACAGATAACTGGCTTTTTTCTTCTAGGAGGCTGAAAATCATTGAATAATAGATCTCCTTCCTTCCTCTACTCCTTGCTATCCCTTATACTATCACTGCATAGTTTCTCAGTCCTCAGGTTAATAGCTCTAAACCAACTTGGCTCAGTTTTGACAACCAATGGGACTAAATTGCAAGCTAGATTACTGATGCAGTAAAGAAAAAAGGACAGCCTTTAGCCTCCCCAAACTACAGCCTTCAGACAGCAGTAGCACTGCAACATTTCACTAGCAAGCAAGTGAAAAAGGTATTTGTCTGCCCTGCTCAAGTCACCACTTCACTAGACCTTCCCCATTCTTGACAAGGAGAAGGCAGCAGAACAGACAGAAGCATCGTATTACGCTGGGACCAAGTAGGTGCTGCAATCTAAGATCTGTCTTACAGCAAAGAGAGCAGAAAGGGCAAAAAAATGCTGGTTCTGCTTATAAGTTAAGACGGCTTTTGGAAATAGTGTTTTAAGTGCTAAACTATAGTTTCTAGCATTTAAAGATAGAGCCTTCTCTGCAGTAGCAGTGAATCCAGGCTTGTAATTGCATTGTGGATGAGCAGATTATCCTGATATTATGTGACTGCATCAAACATTCCAGAAAAATAGAAAACAAATATACAATTACCACACAAACATGTTTACTTTTTGTTGTTCCTTACCCTCTCACTACCCACTTACTCAGGGGAACCTATTTTAAAGTATTTACCCAGGCAAGTCAAGCAACGAGCAGGCAATGCCTCAGAACACAGGGCAACAGTTTGGAGGAAATAGAACAGTTTTATCTAATAAAGTTCCATAACAGATTTAATGTCTGCAGAGTCCTACCCCTTCCCAGAAGTTAATTTCCTTTCCCTGTTAGCCATTTACCATGTTCCATGTTACTCAAGATGCACTGTGTGATTTCACAGTACCATAATTCAATCAGAATTTGCAGACCATACTGACAAACATTAGCATAACACAGACAAGTTCACCATCTGGTCAGATACACACATGAAACAGCTAGATCACTTAAAGCCTATGAATCAACGTATTAATTCTTAATCAGAACTCAATACAATATTTTTCACAGTCACTAAAGCAATTCTATACTTTTAGGTTTTTATATTTAAAGATATAATTATTTTATATCTTTCAAGCTACAAGTACTCTACAGAGAGCATTAGAACATAAGGTTGTCAGACCAGAAAACTGAATTGTCAGATATTCCATGTCAACAAAATTACATATTCAAAGGGCTTTACCAATAAAAAAGTCTCCGCTTTATTAATTTAGAGTCATAGTAAAACACATCAAGTATGCACTAATCAGTATACAGATCTCAACAACAGAACTAGCTTTTGAAGACAACGTGGTACCTGAGAACGGCTGCTAAAACGCACAGAGTAACATGAGAAAAAAAAGCGTTAGCAATAAGCACAAAGCTAGAAGTTACTTCGGCATATACATTACTGTCTTGTAAATGCAACTCAGACAACAAAGCCAACATAAACAAAGCCTGCCACTGCAGAATGCAGGTACTCTCACGTGCTTTAAAGCAATGTTAAAGGGTTTCAGGTAAACTTTTATTTTCTTTGGGTCAGAGAACTATTACCGACAATTTCACAACTGTCAAAGCAGCTATATTGGTGTATTGAATGTCTCTGACATTTATATCAACATCTGACCTCACTCGTGACGGGATTCTCAGCATTTGTGGGGGGAGAGTGAAGGGGTCCTATGCTCAAAACTCTTTCTTAAAGACAATCACTGGGTAAACCTTGCTTATTTTCAAGTCATTTTATTTTTTCATTTGTTAGAGAAGAAATGATTTGGGGTTCTTGACCGAAATAAAAGTTTTCAATTTCAACCTAAATGGCTAAATTTAGGACTCCAGAATTGTTTCTGATACCCAGTCCTCGCCATCTGCATGCTTATGTGGATAGTTAAACAGAACATCACTGTACTCAGTATACACAAATCCAGTTTTCATTCACTTGGAGCTGTTCAATTAAAAATCTTCTCCCTGCCCCCATTTGCATCCCAAACTTGCAAACCCTTATCTAATTTTCTCAAACAAGAATTTGTGCAATCAGGGCTTTATAAACCTGAGTTGAAACCACTTAAGATATAATCAGTAGCATAAATTCAAATCAGGATATTTTGACTATACACTTACCTTGGGTTCACTTCAAGGTGATAGTTACTTGCAATGGTGCTAATTTCAATTTTCTTTTTGGAAGGTGCCTATGCAGGAAGTAAGTACATTAGATTTCAGAAAGTGTGTTCTAAAATCAGATGCAAGATTGATCTTAAGGATTATAACTATCTAGGTAGCAGGCATGCCAGCAGTTTCACAATGCAAGTAATTACTGAGATACTGAGAAGAGAAATACTGATACATCATCCAGTCTCTACACCAGTAACAGTAGTTATGATATATGCATAATATATATTACTAATCGCTATGTACTCCAGTCATTATTACTGAGTGTTGTAGCAAGTAATCTCATTATTGGAATCAGTCATTCAAAAGGAGTGATCTTTTTGTCTTAAGGGAAAAGCCTGCAGACCTCTGAATTTGGGTCTGAATAGATAAATATTTCTAGTCCAATTATTATGTTCATTCCATTGCTGAGAATTAAAAAACAAGCATTAGATGGCCTACTTATGAACAGAAATTGATATCATCTTGCTAGTTAAGCCTTCTACGACATCAATTTTGAACGGAAAATAAATCTGTTTTAATAACAAATTCCACCTGCCTTGATCTTAGCCATGTAATTAAGTTGTTTTTTTTCCTAATGTTGAAATCATCACTATGGGAATGAGTAAACAAATTATAACTTGTATATATGAGAAAAATAGTGCTAGTCATTAAAAAAATAAGGGTTACCTTCACAGACAAATGAAGGTCTATTAATTGGGAGCTAGTCCATTATGCATGCTATTGTCAAAACTAGCCAAGACAACCACAGGGACTCAAGAAACCAGAATATCTTGCAAAAGTATTTGTTCCAGTAACCAAACCAGTCTGACTAATTACATAAATGAGTTTGAACATACTGAACATGAAAAACACTATACCCACTTGTGTTTAAAAAAACACATGCCACACAACAGAAATACGTTAGCATATAAATATCAGTATTGCTTTAGGGGTGGGGTGAGGGAATTACCGTTATACTTTGATGTTCAATCCTCAGTTTTTCCACACCTGCACCATACAACTCCCTTAGCAAACACATTATTCTAGTCTTTTTTCCAGCTCCTGATGGTCCATATACCAGCAGATGAGGGAAGTCACCACACTGAACCTGAACAAAAAGTACCAAGTTTAGTTACTTACAATGTTTTCCTTATGTCATAATAGGGTATTCATCGCTGGTTCAATAGTTGCCTTCCTTTCTCACCCAAGTTTACACGAAGACCATAGCTAACTCATTTTACCTATACCCAGCATGTAAAATAGTTTCCAGAGTGACAGCTCCAATAAACACACAGGGAAAAAAAGGCAAAACAAAAGTTTAAACCAGAAGAAAAATTTCTTTGCTCTTTCAGCTACAAGGCTTGAATTTGAATAAACAAGTAACAGGCAGCATGTACTTAAACAAAATTACAAGTTTGTTTCTGGAAAAGCCAAATACCATGGGTTGGAAAATATCTGACTAAACCGTACACGTAGAGTTAACATTAGTCAGAGACAGCAATCAGGGAGAAACACTGAAAGTCAATCCATCCAGTGAACAGGGGTCAGCACACCTGGGGAGAGGATCTTAAGATCTCAGCAACCGCAGAGTCCCACATTTGATTCCTAGCGGCTCACCTTAAACCTCCCACCCACCCGTCAGTAAACAAGCTAAGCCCTACTCTGTGAGATACCGAGCGTGATCAGCTTAATCAGCAG